GTCTGCCTGTTCTGTTCCCCGCTCTGGCTCTGGTGAATTCTCTCACCCTCCCATGTTTCTGACTGTACCCAGTGCTTGTATAAATAAATAAATAAATCTTTAAAAAAACAAACTACAGATGTAGGGTTTCTGGGTCTTTCCTTCCATGTCACACTGATTAAGACTGATTGAATACTTGTTTATATCTGATTCGAATTTGGATGAAAGCATATCCCAGTGTGCCTAGGACAGCTATAGTTTAGGTTTATTAATGACTTTCCTCATCAGGATTTGCACAAGAAATTATATTGTGAATCTAGTTATACTGGAGAAAAAGGTGTTGATTAAAAATAATCTACTTAACAAAGAAGCTTTCTAGAACACATTCCAGTGCAAAGCAAATGTTTCATAAATCAACTATTGGTTATCTTTTCATGTAAATTAAAATGCTAGCCTGCATATACACTGTCTCCAGAGTTAGACTGTGAGGCCTGTGAGTGAAGTGATTATCTTCCACACCAGTAGACATAAGGGAGGAGCTTCCAATACTGGCCTCATAGTTTTTCATTTATCTGATGTTCACTGAAAAATGTTAAATAGACATCAAAGATTTATACTTTCTGAGGAACATTAGCAACTGAGCATTTACAGGCAAGAATAGTGGCTAAGGAGAAGGTTTGCTTCAATAGGGGACAGAGACACCCTTGTCAGGAACCCGAATTGAAGGTCACCATGAAATCTATGGCCAAAGGCAGCCAGGAATACCCACACCAAAAAGCCTAAAGTGCACCTTTCAAAGAGACTCTGATAATAAAACTGAAAGACGTGGGGACAATCAGAAGCTTGACTGCTGGTGCCAGCTGAATATCACACTGAATTGTCTAAGAGGAGAATGCCTAACTACATTACATGGAAGATGGGGTTGTTGGACTCTTTTCTGCATCCCATAGAAAGTTCACAGCATTTGTTAGGAGCCCTAACCAGTTTGGATAAAACTAAAATGTTAGGGTCAGAAATATTTAAATAATAACATAATATTGAATACAAGTAAAAGTAGAAAAGTAATAGAGGAACACCCACTAATTCTCAGAAGAAATTAACACAAAGATGATTGGGAATAACACACTTTTGCCTCAAAGTTTTTAAAACTGATGATTACGCAGCAATAATATCATTACATTTCACGATCCTTTAAAGGTCACATTTCTTTTGCATCTGCATTGGAACAATCCCTTGCCTCAGCCTCAACTCTGATGTATTAAGAACGTGTTATCTTCACTGAGAGAAGGAGACAGAGACTCATGAAGTAACTGTGTAACTGAAGGTGACTCATTAACAAAGAAGCTCAAATACACGTATCTTCAAGAGAGAAGAATACAGGTTTCCATAAAAAAAGAATTGATGAATTTAATGCCAACTTGTAACAAAATACTGTAAATATTACAAAAAACAAATATCTGTTTTCAGAAACTAAAAAGTGTTCATTATGAATAAGTCATTTGTATCTAAGATTTTCATTTCTAGAAATAGTTTCTATATACTTAAAAGTTCAAGAATTTTTAAAATTTTTTTAAAAGCTTTATTTTATTTATACAAGAAATGGGGTACAGGCCAGATGCGCGGTAGGGTAAGAGGATTCACCAGAGACAGAGCAGAGAACAGAATAGGCAGACTGACAAAATACACTGCTGAGGGGAGCAGCAGACGAGACAGGAGAGGTCTGTTTGCCATGTGGGTTGCCATGTGGGGAGGCCAGAGGAAATCGAACTGGCACTGCCAAGGCTGCGGACAGCTTCACAGCGCTGAGCTCAACCGCCTGCCCCACCAGAGAGGCCCCAAAAGTTCAAGAAAATTTTAATAAACTACTGCCTGACATCTCAGGAATGTTATTCAAGGGTGGAGCTTAGGATTTATAACCTTGGAATCACCCAATTTTGTTTATATCAGAAAAATATTTTAGAGTACACAGAAAGTACTTCAAGTTGAAATGATTATACTTTTTCTTAATCTGGAACTTTATTTTCCTGTCTATCCCATTCACCTCTTGTTTTTACATTCTGGAATAGCCCATCTAGTATGAATATATATGTACATGAGAAGATTCACTGTACCATTATTATAAGTTTGTTTGTTTTGTTTTTCTTTTTAAGAAACATGATGGAACAATCTTCCAAAGGACTGAATCTTTATACACATTCACCTTGAAAATGCTGGCCTAAAGAATATTTTTCATGTTACAGCATATATTTCAAGGATTGGGATTTTTGTTTCAGTTTTTGCTTTTGCCAAAAGATCTCATGCAATTTACTCCCTTTTACATGTCCATTATGCCTGTAGACTTAACATATTTAATGACAAAAATCAGTGACTTATCTTCAGGACATAGTAAGTATAAGTATATAATGATACCACATTAAAAGCACATTAAATTCACTTAAATTCAACTTTTTTAAGTTTCAGCAAAAAATTCATTATTGTAAATCATGCCATTAACCAAAAGCAAACTATATTATCTTGTTCTTAACTACATCATCTGGCTTAATACTTAAAAAAAACTGGCTTATGGGCCTCCCCGGTGGCGCAGCGGTTGAGCGCTGGGTTGCAAAGCTGCCCGCGGCCTCTGGGCGCCGGTTCGATCCCCGGCTGCTCCCCGGTCACCCAAGGAGGGTCCCACATGGCGCGCGGACCTCTCCTGCCGCCCACTGCTCCCCTCAGCAGTGTACTTCAGTCCTCCTGCCTGCTCTGCTCCCCGCTCTGGCTCTGGTGAATTCTCTCGCCCTCCCGCGCTTCTGACTGTACCCAGTGCATGTATAAACAAAACGAACAAACAAATAAATAAATAAAAACATGCCTCTATTTAAAAAAAAAAAAAAAAAAAAAAAAACTGGCTTATAATTAACCCTATAATATACCATATATACTATAGGGTTGTACTTTATAAACATTGATTAAAGTATCATTTGGAATCTAATCCTCATTAAGGATGTAACTCTGCTGAACTGTGAGAGCAAAGGACAGTATGAAATAGCAAATGCTAACATTTATTGAGCACTTGCCATGAATCAACAAAACCAAATATAAGAGCTCTAAAATTTATTTTACTCCACTTAATGCTTAAAAAAACCTCATGAGGGCCTCCCCAGTGGCGCAGTGGTTGAGCGCTGGGTTGCGAAGCTGCCCGCAGCCTCTGCAGCGCCGGTTCGATCCCCGGCTGCTCCCCGGCCACCAGAGGAGGGTCCCACATGGCGCGCAGACCTCTCCTGCCGCCCGCTGCTCCCCTCAGCAGTGTACTTTGGTCCTTCTGCCTGCTCTGCTCCCCGCTCTGGCTCTGGTGAATTCTCTCACCCTCCCGCACTTCTGACTGTACCCAGTGCATGTATAAACAAAACAAATAAATAAATAAATAAAACACGCCTCTATTTAAAAAAAAAAAAAAAAACCTCATGAGACAGGTACAACTACAATTTTACAGCTGAGGAAACTGAGGCACAGAGAGATTACTGAAAACCTCAAGTTAAAAGACATTCATGCATTTCAATAAAATGTTGTTCCCCTGCAATTCCCTAATGAGTTACAGATATAAACGTATTTTATAGCATTTTGACTCAGTTTTTCCATGATTCCAAGACTCAGAAATCCCTTTTGACTGAAAAGCAAAGACTATTCATGAAATTCTAATGTAAATATAATCCCCTCTCCTCATCATCTTCCCAACACAATGGCATTCTCTCATAAAGGTATACTTAGAGAAAGCTTAAATGGACAGCCCTGCTTTGCAAAGTGCTCACAAACAATATGGTGATGGAAGATGTGAATACAGACATCAGCTCATTTCTAAAAATGGAGCCTAATTAAGGAACTCAGAAAGGGATGGGAAAGGTCCAGTTAGCCCACCTTTCTCTCACTCTTTCATTTGCCATTCAGAATAGAGACAAAAGGAAGTCTAAAGAGAAAGACAAAAGAATGAACTAGAAACAAAGCCACAGACTGCCTTAGGTATCAAATATATAATTTCCAATTTCTTGTAACAATGCACTAAACTTGAGTCAATGGATTCACCAGGAAAACTAACTGCTTAATTTAGCAGCAGTACTTTTGTTTTTGCTTACCATGTGCAATCAAGTCACTAGTGGAAAAAGTGAAAACATAACACTATTGTTTGGTCTTTAGAAGCTACTTTCAAATGGAGATATGGAATATTTCACAATACCAGTTGAAAATTCTCCCTTAACTAAAAATATTTCATAACAAAAGTAACTACATTATGAACATTGATTTTTCCTCTCTCTAAATACTAAATGGAATTATCTTCATTCTTAAAGAGATATGAATAGTTAATATGTAGACTACAAACAACTAGAGAAACACTGAATTAATTTTTTTTATATATGAAAATTGAGCATAAAATATTCTTTCTTTAGGCAATGTATACACCTACTTTCAGATTACTACAAAAGTGAAATGCATCAGGCCTCCCCAGTGGCGCAGCAGTTGAGCCGCTAGGTTGCGAAGCTGCCCGCAGCCTCTGCAACACCAGTTCAATCCCTGGCCACCGGGTGAGGGCCCCACATGGCGTGCAGACCTCTCCTGCCACCCACTGCTCCCCTCAGCAGTGTACTTCGTCATTCTGCCTGTTCTGCTCTCTGCTCTGGCTCTAGTGAATTCTCTCACCCTCCCGTACCTTTGACTGTACCTAGTGCTTATATAAATAAATAAATAAATCTTTCAAAAAAAAAAAAGGGAAATGCATCTTTCATGATAGTTTCAAAAATATCCCATCATGGCAGATAACAAAACCTGTTATCTTGCTACCCAGGTTTACACCATTATTGAAACCCATTTGTCCTCAGATATTGATCTGACTCATGTGCTACTAGTTTAAATTGAACTCTCACAGAAGATACATTACAAAATACAGGTAAATACACATTCAATTGACCCCAATTTTAATTTTCTTTACATAAAGTTTTTTTGTGTATGTCATATATGTATGTGGTTCAAAATCCAAGTCAATGCCATACCTGGTTATTTCTTCCTTAAGCTTACATGGATCTTCAGCATAGAATTTTATACCAAAGTACAAAGTGTATGGGGGGCCAGCTAAAACAAGAAAGAGAAATTAAATATCACATTATAAATTAGTCAAAGCAATTGTGTAATACTACTCAAGCATTAAAAATCAAATTCACCAAAAAAATTTACAAACCATTCATTAGATTAGAAACATGTAATGAATTCATACAACTCAACAGCAAAACAACAAAAACAAAAACAAGTAATACAATTAAAAAATGTTCAGAGATGGGGGGCCTCCCTGGTGGTGCAAGGGGTTAAGACAAGGCCTATGAAGCTATCCGCAGCCACTGAAACAGGAGCTCTATCCCAGCCAGGGAGCTACCCACATGCAGCAGACATCTCCTTACTCACCCGCTGCTCCCCTCAGCAGTGTATTTCAGTCAATCCGCCTGTTCTGCTCCACACTCTGTCTCTGGTGGATCCTCACCCCCCACACTGCTGTTCTGTACCCCAGTTCTTATACGCATAAATAAATAAATCTTTAAAAAGTTAAAAATTAAATTAAGTTCAGAGAATATGAATAGACATTTTTCCAAAGATGATGAGTTTTCCAACCATGAGAGATGTGCAACATCACAGATCCGGGAAATGCAAATCACAATGAGATATTGCCCTCATACCTACATGAATGTCTATGATCAAACAGCAAAAGACTACAAGTATTGTCAAGGATGGTGTGGAAAAAACTTTTGCACATTGTCGGTGGGGTTATAAATTGATACAGACATTAAAGAAAACAGTATGGCTGTTCCTCAAAAAATTAAAAATAAAAATATTCAGTGAGTCAGGAATGCCACTATCAGTTATATACCCAAAGGAAATGAATCAAGATCTCAATGAAGTATCTCCACTCTCAGGATCACTGCAGCATTTCTCATATTAGGCAAGACATGAAATAATCTAACAGTCCACTAACATGAGTGGATAAAGAAAATGTGGGGAATAAGTATACACACACAATACATCATTATTCAGCATAATGAAGAAAACAACTCTGTCATTTGCAACAACATGGATGAACCTGAAAGACATTATGTTGGGTAAAATATTCCATCATTAAAAGACAAACTTTTCTGATATCTCTTATATGTGTAATCTAAAATAGGCACATTCATAGATGTAGAAAGTAGGATGGTAGTTGCCAGAAGTTGGGCAGGGAAAGATGGGAGATACTGGTTAAAGGGGACAAAGGCTTCAGTTAAGTAAGATGAATAGAGTACGGTGACAATAGTTAACAATACTATATTGTATACTTGAAATTTTCTCAGATCAAGCTTAAATCTGACTGCACACACACATGATAACTATCTAGAGGTGATAGATAAGTAATTTAGCTTGATTGTGGTGACCTTTTCAGAATGAATACATATATCAAAACATCAAATTGTGCATCTTAAATATATACAATTAATTGTTGTGTGGCAAAGATATCTCGAGGGACAGACTTAGGTGGGATCAGAAGACGTACCTTTATTTTGCTCCCAGGAGGATACTCTGAAGTTAAACAGATGAATACCACATCCAGTGGGTCCCAGAAATATGGCCCAAACTGGAGTAAAACTCAGACATCAAAGACAAGCACAGATTGTACCAGAAGGACACTCAGAAGATTTATGCTTCACTAAACAAGAAGTGGATGGGGCCTCCCCGGTGGCGCAGCGGTTGAGCGCTGGGTTGCGAAGCTGCCCCCGGCCTCTGCAGCGCCGGTTCGATCCCCGGCTGCTCCCCGGCCACCGGAGGAGGGTCCCACATGGCGTGCAGACCTCTCCTGCCGCCCGCTGCTCCCCTCAGCAGTGTACTTCGGTCCTTCTGCCTGCTCTGCTCCCCGCTCTGGCTCTGGTGAATTCTCTCACCCTCCCGCGCTTCTGACTGTACCCAGTGCATGTATAAACAAAACAAAAACAAAACAAACAAATAAAGAAAGAAAGAAAGAAAAATATGCCTCTATAAAAAAAAAAAAAAAAAAAAAAAAAAAAAAAAAAAAAACAAGAAGTGGATGGAGAGAAATGCATGGTCTGTGGTGGGGAGGCTATCATACAAATTGTGGTACTGAGGTTTAACCAGTAGTCCTAGGAAGGGGGGAGTTGAGCAATGTGGAGGTACACATCATTCACTGAGAGGAAATCATGGAGAGGAGCTGGGGTACTACCAGTAGATTAGGTCCTCAGTAAAGAGAACAAGTGTTTCCCTCCTCAGAAATGATACTTATCTCACGAAGTACAATAAAAGTGTGCAGATGACAGAGACTCAGGTGTTAAAACACAAGGAGAGAAACTGATGGTGCCACAAAAGTGAGCTTCACCACCCACCAGCACATTTGCTTCATGACTAGATCCCTCCAAAGCCCTCTTCTACCCTGCAACACAGCATCTACATGAGATCAGCTTTGTAAATACATGGAAGCTGGAAAAGGCCAAAAATCTAAAAGCAAAGTACCACCTGCTAAAAACAGTAAAACAAATTTCTGTTACTTCTACAAACACCTAAAAAAAAAAAAAAAAGTGAAATCTAAAGCAGCAAACGGCTAGACAACAAAATACAACCATGGCACCTCAAGACTTCAGATGCGTATGTCATAACAAGGGGAGAACAACTCCAGAATCCAATCACAAAGACATGAAGGCTTTTATCTTCTCATCAGGCAAAGCTCAAAATTCCAATGATAAAGAAATTCAAAGAAATGTAAGAAAATGCAGAAGAGCAAATCAAAGTGATACAAGAAAACTTAGAATATCTAATCAAAGAGATTCAAAGACATTCAGAAAAATAAATGAACAACCTAATTAACAAAAACTAGAATTGAAGGTTTAGGTAAGAATATGACAGATGGCCTCCCTGGTGGCGCTGTGGGCTGAGCGCAGTGCTGTCCGTAGACTCTGTAGCACAGGTTTAATTCCTGGCAGGCCAGGGAGATACCCACCTGGCATGGCAGACCTCTCCTATCTTGCCCACTGTTCCCCTCAGCAGTGCTCTCAGTCCGTCTGCCTGTTCTGCTCCCTGCTCTTTCTCTGGTGAATCCGCTCACCCCAGCTCTTGTATAAATAAAATAATTTTTTAAATATTTATTTATTTATGCATACAAGATGTGGGGCACAGGCCAGAGATGCAGGGGGTGAGCGGATTCACCAGAGACAGAGTAAAGAACAGAACAGGCAGTCTGAACAAAATATACTGCTGAAGGGAGCAGCAGATGAGACAGTTGAGGTCTGCCTTGCCATGTGGGTTGCTTCCTAGCCAGTCAAGGATTGTGCTGCAGAGGCTGTGGATTGCTTCATAGTGTGGTGCTTAATTTTAACCACTTAAAAAAAAAAAAAGAGATCCATGATGAAAAAAAATTAATAAAGGAGAGGGGAAACAAATATTGTTTTAAAAAGGAACAGATATAAAAAATAAATGAAGAATGAGGTAAAAATATAAAATAATAAATAAAATTTTAATAAAATTAAAAAAAATTGTAGAGAAAGCTACAGAAGGAGAGTAGACCAAATGGAAGATCAAATAAATGACCTAGAAAATATTAACACACAAATAGGCCAGGTGAAAGATGAAAGTTAAAGAGAAATACAAAGGAGTGTAGCCTTTTGAAAATATCTTTAGAGTAAGAAATCAAGAAAACAATTCCATTTACTATTAAATCAAAAAGAATTAAATACCTACAAATAAACTTGACAAAGGAGGTAAAGGATCTGGACAACAAAAATTATAGATATTGTTGAAAGAAATAGAAAACACAAGGAAATGGGAAGACAGAATGCAATCTCATAAAAGTTTCAATGGCATTTTTCAAAGGAACAGAATATACATTACTAAAATTTTATGGAATCACAAAAAAACCCAAATGGCTAAAGACAAAAAAAAAATGTCATTTTTCACACTCCCAGATTTCAAACTAGCATACAAAGCTAACAGTATGGTATTGGAATAAAAATTGACACACAGACCAAAGAATAGATTTGATAGTCAAGAAATAAAACCATCCTTATAAGGACAATTCATCTATAATAAAGGAGTCAAGAGCACATTGGAGAAAGAAAGTCTCCTCACAAGTGGGTGCTAGGGAAACTAGACAACTACAAAGAATGAAATGCAAAGAATAAAACTAGTCCACACCAGGTATAAAAATTAACTCAAAGTGGATTATACTTGGATTAAAGACCTCAAATCATAAAATACAGAGAAGAAAACAAACAAACATTCCATGGCATTGGCTTCATAGGTATCTTCGGGAATTTGGCTCCAATAACAATGGAAACAAAAGCAAAATAAACAAATGGGGCTTCATAAAACCAAAACATTTCTTCACAGAAAAAGAAACTATCATTAAAATTAATGACACCCTACGAAATGGGAGAAAATGTATTTGCACATAATACATCTGACCAGGGCCTGATATCCAATATCTAATATCTACAAAGAATTCATACAATTCAGCAGAAATAACAAAACCAATCAATAAATGGGGAGAAGAGCCACACAAACTTCTTCGAAGACATACAGATGGTCAACAGGCACATGAAAATATACTCATCATCATTTATCATGAGGAATTGCATATCAAAATCACAACACGATACATTTCAAACTTATGAGAATGGCCCATATCAAAAAAGACCAGAAACAAGTGCGGGCAAGGATGTGGAGAAAAAGGAATGCTTGTACACTAAATGAGAATGTAGACTGGTCTACCCCTGAGGAAACAGTATGGAATTTTCTCAAAATATTTAAAAAAAAAAAAAGTTCTACCATATGATTCAGCAATTCCACTCCAAGGTATCTACCCAAAGGATGCAAAAATACTAATTCCAAGGGCTATATATATATGCATTCCTATGTTCATTGCAGCACTAGTTGCAGCAGCCAAATTATGGTAACTATTGATGTGCCCAAGTGCAGATAAATGGATTAAGAAGATGTGTGTATATCTATATCTATATCTATATAGATATAGATATATAATTCACACACACAACGAAATATTACAGAGTTACAAAAACTATGAACTCGTGCCATTTGCAACAACATGG